TTTCTTGATATTCGATTTGGGCTTTTATCTTCAGTTATTTATTTTCGCTCGGTTTGGACTTTTATTAGGGGTCCACTGGAGATGGATTCCCGAGTTGTAAACTTATGAAGTTTGGATTGTCAGAGTTTAAATATTTATATTTGAGGATTTTTTTTTAATTTAGTATTCCTTCAGCTTATTATTATTTCTTAAATTCATTTTGTATTCTGTGTTCGATTAAATATTAATTGTTTGATATCCTTCGGATCTGGGCTCGGACTTGATCACCCGTGGCTCTAGAATCGAGGGGTATCACATTATCTCCCCTTTAATTCAGAGTTTCCTCTTATTTCAAGGAAAGGAAAGAAAGTAAAACCCTCCTTCAATATAAGGAATTGGCCACTATACCGTTCCTCTTAGACTTTTTGGGTGAATTGTCTTTCCAAAGATGAAAAGATGTCCTCACAATGGAAAAAATAAGGAATCTTTGACATTATCCAGATCAACAAAGCCTTCATTACACTTGATCCAAATCTACTCTTTCCAGCCCTTTTCTTTTGGTCCTCAACCACAAATGCCCTACATTTGAAATGCAGAATGATGTCCTAGACTCTAAGGGATATTTGTTGTATTGCCAGCCTCAAACCTCATGGAAATGATGTTAGCGCCACTCTCTATGTTGACCAATTCCCTTTTCCTACCAAAAACATTGGCAGCAAGAAATTTTTCTCATCCTACATTCCTTTCATTAAACACTATAAAATAACCGAGCTAGTTGAAGAGGACGAGCATATAGTTTTCCTAATCTGTTGGCTTTCTGGCTACTTGTTATACGTTCCATCCAGACAAGTTACCAAGGAATTTATTCAAGTTGCCATATCCTTGGCCAGAAATAGAGATTTGGCATTAGCTCCTCTCATACTCTCCCATTTGTACAGAGGTCTGAATAACCTTCTCGTTTCCAAATTCTCAAGATTTCAAAGCCCTTTCTGGCTATTCCAGATGTGGCTTAAGGTATTTTTCCAAGATAGAACTTCCCCTCTTGCCATACAAACTAGAAAAACCCTTCTATGCTACCCCTTGGCAACAACATCCCCTTCTATTTTCAGCTTTGCTGAAAACTTTGAATACTTTTATAACCAATGTAAAACTGGAGACGACAAGTTCTTCGATCCATTTACTTTCCTTGGCCACATACCATAATGGTTAGTCCCCTCTCCAGGAGTTTCCACCAAAAAATATATTGGAGAATGGAAAAACATTTGGGCAAGCTTTCTACTTGCTCGGGACCTTCATTACAGCACAGCCAATCCTGATCTAAGGAAAAGCTTTTATGGTATGGAATTCTATAATCCAGCTCAACTGGCCAGGCAAATGAGATTCACCCAACTCATTCCCTTACCGCCATATAAATCTCAGAATAGGTACTTCGATCAAAGAGTGAGGATCACAGATGTTGCCAAATTTGCTGCGATTGATAAAGCTTATGAAGTGAAACGGTTGGCTTTCAACTTTCAAGGCCATACTAGCAAGCCTTAGTCTTTTAATGAGTTTACTGTATGGTGGACGGCCTACATTTTTTCCACTGGGACAAAGAACCATAAGGCCGTTTATGACACTATTCTAGCTTCCTTCAAACCATTATCTTCAGGTATAAATATATTTCATTCCAAAACTTTCTTTTTCCTTTTATATTACTGTCAGACCCTTGTCTTCAGGTATAAACTTGCGTATTACTAGTGAAAAATGATTTGAAGGGCATAAAGAGAAATTGTGTTTTAATTATGTAAAATGATTTAGAAAGATGCAAAAGAGAGATTGTATTTAATTATGCAAAATGATTTAGAAAAATGCAAAGAAAGACATGTATTATAGCCTTTCTTTACCGAATTTTGAATTGGATGTGGCAACTCTAGTAGCCATTGCTGTCATAGCACTGCAGTAAAGTCATCTGTAAGGTGGTTTGAGTTCTCTTGGTCAGGTTTCAGTCCTAAAAAAAGTCAAAAAGAAAGAAAAATTGAATTGGCTAACGTCATTTTCTTTGTTGAATAAAGAGTCCCCCCCCCCCCTCTCCTTCCTTCTTGTGAGCAATTTGGGAGGGTCGTGTACTTTCAATCACCTATTAAATAAGCTATGCTTAAGCTTTAATCCTAGGATTATTTCCTTGACACATTGAACTTGTTTTGCTCAAGTTAAGACCATGTTAATACTTGTTTTGCTTGAGTTAATACGAAGAGTAGATCTTTCAATGTACCTTTATTATAATGCTTGCTTTGCTTGGTTTAATTTTGGCAACTTTACAACTTGCTTTACATTAATTCTCTTATTTCAACTATTACATCTTTATAGGTCAAAGCTAGGATTGCGGGTTGTAGTTGCTGTTACTTTTTTTGTTACCGCTATATTTTTTGTATGGCTCATGAAGAAGTTGCAAGAAGATATGAAGAATTTTTGTTTTATTTTGGTTAAGTAAATATATAAGGTGTGGATCATGTACTTATTTGAAATTTGTATATGGCTAATTTTTGTATAAAACAATGATTTGGAATTAGTTATATATATATATATGATGTTATTGGTCAGTTGTAAATTATTTTGGTTATAATCTATTTTTTATTTATTTAGGGTTTGCTCATGGGGTCCTTGCAAGGCTAGTAGTAGGAAAAAAAAAAAAAAAAAAAAAAAAAGGCTTCAAATGGGCTACACTATTTTTTTTTTAAAAAAAATAAAATTATATAATACTTTCTACCACGGTTATGCACCGTGGTAGAAATAAAGACTTTCTACCACGGTTTTGCACCGTGGTAGAAAGAAAGACTTACCGTGGTGGAAAATAGACTTTCTACCATATTGCAAAACCGTGATAAAAAGTCTCTACTTTATTACCACGGTTGTTTCTACCACGATTCAAAACCGTGGTAGAAGGTCTCTTCCACTGTGATAAAAAGTCATTTTTCTTGTACTGACCCTTCAAAATAATAATAATAATAATTCTTTGTTCATAAGAAAATGAATTTCAAATAAAACCAAACAAAGATTTTCTTATATTTAAAAACCTTTTGATTCAGTCATTTTTGAAAGAATAAATTACACGGGCATTTCCATGATTTGTCATTATTATAGGAACCAATTCTATCATTTTTGAAATTACATTAATCTACCTTATTAATAATGAACGTTGTTACATGCATAGATCCCTCCTTTTAATGATGGACTGTCAAATAGACTAACGGACTTTCTTAATTTATTGAAATGTCCTCAGCAAGTAAAACTGTCGAATTCTCTCTATACACACACATGTATCATTGTGATCATCGTCATATGACAATCGAAGCTCATTTATGGGACTGTACAGTTTTCGGCATTTGGACAGCGACAAATTAGGCAAATATTGGTCGTTCAATTTCGAATTCGCCTCTCATTTACTCTTAAATTCGCCTCTCATTTCAATTAGGTTTTGAATGCTGTAGACATTTTCGTAAATCAAAATCAATCCTTGTATGTTGTAGGTATTCTCAAGGAAGATTATCCTTGACGAACGACAACATCCAACGACAACAATGAAGAACGTGATCACGAGTATCTCGACGCCTTCTTCCTTTTTTCATATCTCAAATTTTCCTTTCACATCATGCCAGAATACACAGTCGTGGTGATTGTGGGGGTGTGATGGAGGAGATAGCGCCGCGGATTTGGTGGTGTTGATGGCGTGCCGGAATACACAGTTATGGTGGTGGTGATGCGCTGCAATTGTGTTGGTTGTGATGTACGTTCCCTAATTGTGGTGGTGTTGGTGGTGGTTGTTTTGCTGGAATACACAGTGGTGATGGTGGTTGGGGTGGAGACACGGTGGTTTTTCGTTCGCTGAAATAAACACAGTGGTAGTGATGGTTGCGGGGGTGAGGATGGTGGGAACTTTCCCCCAAAATATATATATATATATATATATATATATAAACATGCATATATGAAAATTTTAATTTATTCAAGACATCAGCAAATTACATCTATGACTCGTGTTAACTGTTAAAAATGAAAGTCTCTATAATAATGTTTCATTTTTAGGGACATTTATGTAATTTCTCTAATCTTAGGGAGCCGTTCCTCTAATTATGACAAATTATAAAAGCAGTTAATATAATTTGCCCTTTATGAAAACTGTATGTGTCAAAATCTTGTTTGAATGATGGTGGTGTGGGACCTCGATCTTAAAACACAGTCTCCGTCCCACATGAACAAAAAAATTCTCTAGGAGTAAATCTAAAAGAATTCAAATTCCTGACCCCATGTGAAGTGAGACTCATGAGTCTTTGCTATTTGGTTATTCTCTTGAGATTGTGGAGGCCAAAGTAATCCAGCAATATACACATGCAGGATTTAATTACAAAAAAAGTATTTAATGTATTCAGGATTAATTTGTTCAATTTTCAACTTTAACTGTTATCATGGATCTCTTCATATTGGATGAGTTTTGATTAGCAATTAGGATTTACAATCCATCAAAACTACTGGTCATCACCTATATGAATGGAATGATTTTTTATTTTATTTTATTTTTTTCTCTCTTTGTAAAGTAGAAAAAGTGGAAGTTACTAAACCAATAAGAGTGCTGAGTTGTATTATTGAAGAAAAATCCATTTTTCACGTGACTTTTATGAAAAACGATTCTAATAAGGCTTAATTCCAAAATTATTAAACTTGCCAATTGAAATTTGTATTATTACACTAGGTAAGTAGTAGGTAATATAGTCCATATTTATGATATTTTCAAACTATTGTACGTACAATTAGATGCAAATAATTGAGGAAGAACAAATAAATAAATGAAATAAACTGGGTTAGTTTCAGTTAGATTTATGGTAGTGTTTGTGTCGTATTGTACTGTGTGTGAAGAGTCAAGTCCACACTCCTCACTGCTTACAACAGTAAATGTAAAAGCCAACCATTAGAATTGAGGGCAGAAGATGAGAAAAAAAAAAATTTGTGGGAAAATTAAGAACATTCACTCAGATAGTTCATAGTAGTGCACAAAATTCAGAATTTCAGCTTTAATCCACATCAATTTACATGACAAGACATTCTCATATTCATTCTTTAATTAAATTAATTTTCCACTTCACGAGCTCACTCACAACTCAGATTTTTTTCCCTTTTTACTTACTTTCCAGGAACAAAGTTTGTGGCATAGGCCCAAGCATTGTTGTTAACTGGGTCTGCAAGGTGGTCGGCGAGGTTTTCCAATGGGCCTTTTCCGATCACAATGGCCTGAACAAAGAACCCAAACATAGAAAACATGGCAAGTCTTCCATTCTTGATCTCCTTTACTTTAAGCTCCGCAAAAGCCTCTGGATCATCAGCAAGACCCAATGGGTCAAAGCTTCCACCAGGGTAAAGTGGGTCGGTCACCTCACCGAGAGGCCCACCGGCAATACGGTAACCCTCAACAGCACCCATCAAGATGACTTGTGAGGCCCAGATGGCCAAAATACTTTGGGCATGGACCAAGCTGGGGTTGCCCAAGTAGTCAAGTCCACCCTCGCTAAAGATTTGAGCTCCGGCCTTGAACCACACGGCCTCACCGAACTTGACACCGTTACGGGCCAAGAGCTCAGGGAATACACACCCGAGAGCTCCGAGCATGGCCCATCTGCAGTGGATCACTTCGAGTTCACGATTCTTGGCAAAGGTCTCCGGGTCAGCGGAAAGTCCAGCAGTGTCCCAACCATAGTCACCAGGGAATTCACCAGTGAGGTAAGATGGTGGCTCACCGGAGAGTGGGCCCAAGTACAAGACTCGGTTTGGGCCATACCACGGGCTACCGGATGCCTTGGGGACGGTCTTCCTCATGGTGATCCTTCCACCTCCAAGAAGCTCCGGAGCGGATGGCGAAAGTTTGACTGCCTTCCCGGCAAAATATGGGGAAGAGAGAGCCATTGTTGAAGCCGCCATTGAAGAACTAAAATGAGAACGTACTGCTGAAAGAAACAAGTGCACAAATGGATTGTTGCTTGGGGCTTGAGTTTCATTTCATGGCTTACAAGCACTCTATTTAATATAACTAGCTTGGTGGTCCAAGGGTTCTTATCTTTGGAGATCTTTATCTTTACTCTTATTGGTTCATAACATTGGACGTCTAGTTGGCAATCTCTACACCAATTACCACATTTTTGGACATCTTTACACATACTGCATATAGCAAAAAATCTGATGAAATAATACAAGTTTTTGCATCAACCAATGGGACTCTGTCACTGTGTTACCAGATATTGCTACATCTTCGTGGATAAAGAATGCAACAGCGTACATGCAACGGCATTATTATGCAATGGCATGCATCGGTATTATTTTAATCATTGTTTATAAATAAAACAGTGATACTCACAACCAACATTTACAGTGAATTGTTTAATCGAATAATTTTTAATTATTTATATATTTATATCAAATATAACTAAATGAAACGATTCACTTTCTTATTTATTGTATAATTAACCAATTAAAAAAGTAGGTCTAACGATTTACTGCAATTATTTGATATAAGAATCATTTTTCATATAAATATAGAACTAGTGGCTACACGGTTAGGAATTTAAAATCCCCTCCATTATGTGTCGATATTGTTGGGTTAATGATTTTCTACACGATTATAAAATATTCACACGTGTAAGTGTCAATAACATCTGTCTAAACAATGCCTGGCTTCATAATTACTAATTAAGATTTCTAATCCATTAAAACAAATGCTGCCCACCTATTTCAATAGAATGATATTTTTTTCTGGGTAAGAAAAGAAGAAGGTGAGAGTATTGAAAGGATTACTAAAGACAAATTCAATTTTCCCATTATAGGACTTAAATCCAAAATTATTAAGCTTGTCAACTGAAATTATTATCATTACACAAAGTAATAATTCATCATTTTTAAAATTGTTGAACTGTGTATGTACAATCAGACGTAATTAATAATTGAGAGAAAAGCAAATAAATGAAATATTAAATTGTGTTAGTTTCATCTGCATTACAACATGATTTTCTTACAATTGATCTTCACAAAATGCTTTCCATGATCGTATTTTGGACAATTAATTCTTTAAATTAACGTAAAAATAATAGAAACTGAATAATTCTTTCCAAAGTCAAATTATAAAGAGAATACAATTTCATCAGAAATATTATTATACTTTTTGCGGCTGATTCTTAAGATTAAAGGAAGTAATAAAAATCGAATAATCCTTTCCAATTGCAAAAGCGCAGGAAGCATAAAATTTCTGGAGCACATTTGCGGAGAGGTTGATGGTTGCTTGCGGCTTGAGTTCCATTTCATGGCTTACAAGCACTGTATTAAATATAACTTGGTGGGCCCAATGGTTCTTATCTTTGGAGGTCGATCTTTATCTTTATTCTTATTGGGTGATAACATTGGACGATTAGTTGGCAATCCCTGCACCACTTAGAGCATCTCCGGCCCTAAAATGCTAAGAGCATCTCCAACCCACTTGCCATGTGGATTGTCAATTCAAAATATAGTAGGTGGGTTAAAATTGTGGTCTCCAATGATTTGCTATATTACCTGTTAAAATTTGGCTTTACCATTTTTGGTGCCAAATCTAGCACAAAGAAATAACTATTGCTATTTCAGAGAAAACAGAGAAAGAGAGAGAGAGAGGGGTGATGGAAACCGAAAGATATGGGTTTTGATTTTTTGAACAATCTGAAATGATAATCCGATATGGGTTCAGATATATATATATATACATAAATTTAAAAAATATCATACAGAATTTCACCAAATAGGATTTAGTTTCCAAAACAAGAATTATAGACCTTGATTAGTTGATTTAGAAGAAAAAAAATTAAAACAAAACCCATACGTACAAGTTAGCAGTTGGAGAGAGAGGGGGGGGGCAAGCTTGAGAGTTGAGAGACAATGGCTGAAGCTTGCGAACGGCGAACCCGAACTGGAACAGCAGACGATAAAAGATATGGGTTTTGAACTTCTGATTCTTGTTGATTTTGTAAGAGAAAGAGCAGGGGCAATTTCAGAGTTAAGAACAAGAATAGAGATGGAGGCATTGGGGAGGTTGAAATGATTTGCCCTAAAACTATATACGGTGATTTGGGAGGCTGAAATGATTTGCCCTAAATATAAATATATATATATATATATATATATATATATATATTTTAATAATAATATAATTAAATATATATAATATACATATATATATATATAATATATATAAATTTCAAAAAAAAAAATTATATTAAAAAAATTTATATAATAATATAATCAAATATATAAATTTATACATATATATATATATATATTTGGGTCATTTTTTGACAAGATATTTTAGATTTTTAATTCTTTTTAATTAAGTTTAATTTTAGTTTCCTTATAATGTGCACAACTCGACTTGGAATGTGCCTAATATTAACATGGTGGGAATGGTAATTGAAAAAGAATAATGATTGTGTTAAAAAATAACATTTTACATAAAATGCATCATTGGGGCAGAATTGTTAAAATGTAGCATTTTAACACTATAGCACTGTCAAAATATAAATTTGACATCCAATTAAACACAACTCATTTGAGATATGTTAAAAAAAAAAAAAAAAAAACATTTGAGACCATAAAAAATAAAACCATTTCAGACCGACAATTTTATTTACCAAAAATAATACAATCTTTTTAAAATAAATCAACAGTTGCGATCCACGTACTCCCTTTCCTCTCTGACGAAAACAATACAGCAACTGAAACCATACCACAACCACCATCAACGGTTGGTTTAGGAAAAGCAGAGAGAGAGTAGCATAGTGCATTGCAGAGAGAGAAAGATATAGAGAGAGGGAGTGAAAGGGACTTCTCTTCCGACATTTTCTCAATTATTGAAGCGAAGTAGCAAACGATGACGTCAACTCACATCTGTTGCTTCAGATCTCTTCTTCTTCGATCATGCTAGGGTTTCGTCTTTTGTATTCACGAAGACGATGTCCTAGAGGGAGACACAAATACAGACACCACTATACATTCAGGTTCTTTCTTGATCGACGCAATAACTCTTCATTTCCACTCTCTCTCTCTTCAATTCCAAATGTATTATCTGTTTATTGTTCACTGATTCGCGTTGTCACTGTTCGACATTTTGCAGTTTAGAATCAATTTCGCAACAATATGGTGGTTTCTGGACCTATAACACCAGGACAGGTATCGTTGTTTTTCACAATCACTGTGTGTGTGATTAGGTTTCTCTGATCATTTTGATTCAATGCTGAGAGAATCACTTGTTTGGTCACCAATTGATCTGGCTGTGTTCATAATACTATAATAGTAATTGGCCCTAAAAATTAGGCTAATTTATAGTTTGTAATTATTGAAATCGGGATTGATTTTGTGATGATTGCATTTTCTTCTTTCATGATTTTGATGGGGAAGAATGGTAACAGTAGAATAACTTCTTCTATTCTCACGCATTATGTGTGTGTGTAAGTATATATGCATTTGAACATTTGAAGTATTCTCTCCTGAAGTTATGTATTCGTTGCTGCTTGAAGTTCAGAAATGCAAAAAAGAAATCCAATTTACTAGTTCACTTTGTTATTTATATTCTTGAGTTAGTAAAACAAGGTGATTGCTCTAGCTTTCTGTCAGTGTCTTATGACAAATAAGTTAATTATATGTGTAACTTAGAGAATTGAATCCATTTGTTATAGTGCCAATTTTCGAAATATTACTGTTTATACTAGCCCTTTCATGAAAAATTTCACTTTCACACATTGCGCGAGGGTGATGGAGAATGGAGTATCTTTGACTAAGATTTCATCCAGTTGAACATGCCAAGTATCCCGTAGGATATCGGCATTATCGTTAATTTATCAAGTTGAGTCAAGTCGACCTCTCTCTCTCTATATATTATATATATATATAGAAATATTTATACATATATATATACACTGTATCTCTCTCTTTCTTCCTCTACCCTTCTTTCTTTTTCTTTGTTGTTTTTCCTCCTATCATTTTTCCTGAATTCCTCTCGATAGTAAGAATTTTATAACAAAAAACTCAAACACAAAACCTCTCACTTATTCTCATATTGCAAAAAGATGAACTCATCTGCAGCAAGTTAATTCAAAATTCACTTGCATGTGCATTAGGTGGTTTAATTAATTATAGAATATCAAGTTTGACACATGAAATTATGGAAGTGCTGTTTTTATTTCATTACTTTGTGTTAATATATGCAATTCAATTTGAGTATCCATTTTTTTATTTATATTTATTTTTAATAAACATGGTGGGAGTTTGGAAACGTTGGCTTTTCATATAAGGGGATGGATTTGAAATAGAATGCAACTGAACTAGGGAGAGTAAGACTAACTTGTGGTGGATCAAATACCTAGTATAGCAACTGCCTAGTCCAAATAACAGTTAACAATGTGAAAATAGATGAACACAATGCGTTGGATCACTTGTGAACTTTCATCTAAAATTTGTTTGATCTAAAGATTAGATTACAAGCACCAACGGATCATTGGCCTAGCGGTATCAAGCCCTTACTTCCCAAAGGGAGGTCAGGGGTTCAAGCCTTAGTGAAGTATGTGTGTGTATCAATTAGGAAAAGAAGAAGAAGAAGATTAGATTACAAGCTTTAATGTATGAAATTGAAATATAGAAGAAGACACCAGTTCATAATTATGTAAGGTGTTATGTGGATCACAAATCCACATGTTTTAGGCAATAACAGTAGGTAAATTAGCCTCATAACTCAAATAGAATTTGTAGTTCGATTTGAGGCTCTCTCATTAAAAACACAATACTAACTGGAAAATGAATGGAGGGCCTTTGAGTTCTATCTGAGGCTCTCTCATTCCAAAATACAGTACTCGCCCTTTTTATGGATAATTTATAAATTTTGTACTAAATTGTGTTCTTCAACGCTCTACGAGAGGGGAACTTTCTATTGGTTGCTGGCCCAGTGCTACCTTAGATTGTTATTGAAAGATGGCTCAAATTACCAGCCTGTAACTTACTTCTAGCCGCATTAGCTGAATGAAGGTCATACGCTTTCTGAATGACCTCATACCATTCTTTCGAGGTTGAGAAAGATTTGCATAGATTATTGAGATTGTTGTGGAGAGTCCTCAGGCTATGCTGTTACAAACAGTTTAGTACAAAAGGAGTCTGTGGTTTGTGTGAATTGAGTGTCTGAAGTAGGACTCTCACCTTTTCTTTTCTTTGTTCTCTCTACTTGGTGGACCCTCACCTAATATATAGAAATATTTAGTGATATGATATGCACATGTATAATAGTAGTGGAATGGGGGAGAAACAAGTCTTTGAGAGGTTTTTTGGATGAGTCAAGAGATACAGTATTTTGTTTATTTTCTATTTGAAATTAAGTGATTTTAAAAGAAGCAGAAGGAAAGAAGTAACATGTTAAAGATTGAAGTTGAGAATGTACACTTTGATTGCCATCAACTGATTTTTTTATTAACTTTCATGTATTCGTTATGCTTGCTTAATCTTCGATGTTATTGGAAGGCTAGGATATTATTGTGCCACTAAAATTGGAAGTTGTTGTTCCCTTCAATATATTTAAATATGGATTGGAGGATGATACTTTCCATTTAATTTGTAATTTCCTACCAGAATTTTATCATAAATTGTGCAACTGGAAGTTAACTGCAAGCATTGGTTCCATGAATATTTCGCCATTTTAATTTCTTTTTGTTAAAAAGTGTTGTTTTCTAAGTTTTTTTTTTTTTTTCGTTGGCAAGAAATTCATGAGCCCATTTGCCCCTAGGACTTGGACCCTCATCATCCACTTTGGGAGGTAGAGGAGATCAGTCACTTGCATATTCACATAAGACAGTAAATATATTATATACATGCATATTAAACTATATGTGTTTTTAGAATTAGTCTAATCTGTATGGATAAAATATATTACCATATGTCATTTAAACAATCACTTATGTGATATTTTATATTCCTTTCTTTTGAGTTTGGGAATTTTACGCCTTTTTATTCATACAGCATTATAAGAAAATAATGTGATGTCTGGATGCTTTCTGATACTGAATTTCTACTTTCCGGGCAGCAGTCATTCAGACAGTAACCTAGCTGAATTGGAAAATATGAAAATCAGGGAAGATGATCGGGCTGCTATGCTGGAAGGAGGCCTCACAAGATCAGCATCCACAAGGCACTATGCTTCATCAATTAAGGGAAACTTAATTAGGTGGTTTGCTGTTTGGTGTGCTGTATTTCAGTGGAGTTTCATATTCATTGTTTCCGTAGAAGTCTTTCTTACGTTCTCAACCTCTTGAATTTCAAGGTTTCTAATAATGGACGACTCCTTTTTGCTAGAGAATCGGGCAACTTTGAGAGCAATGTGATTTGTGTTATTGCATTGGTGATGATAATAAATATTTGACAGCTCTTCATTCCTTCGTATATGTACTGATAAAATATTATGTAGGTCTGAGTTTGGGGCGATTATGGTATATTTCTATATATGTGACCGCACATATTTACTTGCAGGCTCTACTAAGGTGCTTTCCTTTTCTGGGTTTTGTTTCACAGTTACATTTAAGAGTTTATTTTGCAATGGTTTTGCTCTGAAACACCCCTCTTGACTTATCTATTTATTTTTTATTTGTTCTTGGCAAGTTTCTAATTTAAATATAATAATGCGTATGATTATGTTAAATGTGCTGGAGTAGTATATTTGTAAGCAGTTATTGTATGTTGCTTTCATCATAATTTTGCAATAAGAGATGCACTTTTATGAGCTTGGGGATGGAATGCGAATTGAACAGTAGAGTTTGGGTATTCATAATTCCATGTAGCCAACATATGCTGTGTTATGTTTGCCCAAATATATATATATATGTGTGTGTGTGTGTGTTGCCTTTTCTGTCTGTATGCAATTCAAAAAGTTATCCCTTAGTTGGACCAGGTTATCTATTAATATGTTGAATGGATATCTTATTTCTATGATTAGTATTGCAACAGAATAGAATAATAGAGCACTCTCCAGCCTTTTAAGGCAGTTATCTTCCTGATTTCTGTGTTGATTTTGATCAATTTAATTTATTTTTTTTTTTTTTGACAGATACAATCGCGATCTTTTCCTATTCCTCTACATTCTTCTTGTCATAGTTTCGGCATTGACTTCTCTCAAGAAACATCATGACAAGTCAACATTTTCTGGAAAATCCATACTTTACCTTAATCGGCATCAGACAGAGGAGTGGAAAGGATGGATGCAGGCACGTATATCTTTTTAAAATTCCTTATTTCTAACTTGTTATTGCTTCAGCTTAGTTAAACAAAAATGTATTTTACACACTCTCTCTGTAGAATTTTCTTTGACTCATGTTGAGCTACAATATATTTTTTTTAAGCAGATATTGTTTTAGTTGCACTATTCAGTATCATCTGATGGAAGACTAGTATAGTTATTTCTTGACTTCTAATAATATTATTTTGACCGGATGTATTTTTGGATCAGTTTTTCTCTTCAATTTTTACAAAGTCATCATGTATTGGAAAGCCGAGATATGTTGTCATATGATTTTTGTTGTCACTCATTAGATTCAGATCGAAACCTGCAAAAGTTATGCCTATACATTACAATTTTCAACTCTGTTGGATGTTAGATATTTTCCATGTCTGCTGCTATGTTCAATTTATAAAGTACCCTTATATACATTGTGTGGTACAAGCAATTGCAAGTACTTTTATAAGGCTGTGTTTCCTGCTGTATTGTCAACAGGTCCTCTTCTTAATGTATCATTACTTTGCTGCAACGGAATTGTACAATGCAATACGGGTTTTTATTGCTGCACATGTTTGGATGACTGGATTTGGAAACTTTTCCTATTATTACATTCGAAAGGATTTTAGCGTTGCTAGGTTTGCTCAGGTAACATCGTTGAATTTGGATCATATTGTTATTTCATATAGACATTCCCTGACAACTTTTAGTTTTCTTTCCATTTTAATGACTTAAGATGTTTTTATATCTTTATTGTCCTTTTTATGCAGATGATGTGGCGGCTAAATTTTTTAGTGGCATTTTGTTGGATTGTTCTTAAGAACGACTATATGTCGTACTATATCTGCCCAATGCACACGCTTTTCACTCTAATGGTTTATGGAACCCTTGGAATTCTCAACAAGTATAATGAGAAAAGATTGGTGATGGCTGCGAAGATTTTCACTTGCTTTCTTGTGGTTATTGCAATTTGGGAAATTCCTGGAACGTTTGACATTTTATGGGCCCCTTTGGCACTAAGTAATGGACCTAACTTTTTACACTAAGTATCTTATGTGTGCTTCTAATCTTGAACTTGTCAAATTTAATCTGGAGCTCAACTGGGTCACCACACATTGTAAGGTTATTCTGGATCCAACTATAAGTTGACTTGGTATATTTTGAGGATGGTCAATTGCCAGTTCCAAGTTGTAGACTAGGGTCCTTTGATCTCATGAATGGTGAGCAGGTGTCATTGAAATGCCCTTTTAATTAATTAATTTATTTTTCTGTTTCCTTTAGCTACAATTTATTCCTGAAAAGATAATAAAGTCCATATGATTTTAAAGGTATTATATGATATCATGAGGTTAAAAATGTTTTTAAATAATTACTATATTGAATTGAATTTTCTTGAGGTGATCCCGCTGCAAATGTCCAAGTTGAGCTGGGTTTTCAAATTTTCAAAGTGCATTTATACCTGCTGGCACGAGCACCTGAGTAATTGTTATTCACAATGGCAGGGTACACTGATCCTTTAAAGCCAGATCTCCCTCGATTACATGAATGGCATTTCAGATCTGGGCTTGATATCGGGATGATATATGCTTATTTTCACCCCAATGTAATTTCTTGAAAGTTATTTTACTGTTTTTGTTGCTTATTGGTTGTGCAACTGCTAAAATTTATATTTTTTGTTATATTAGGTTGAGAAGTGGATAGAGAAATTGGAGGAATCTGAAACCAGGCGGCGACGCATAATCAAAACATGCATTGTCCTGGTTTCCTCATCTGTGAGTTGCTTATCTTCTGTGATTGTAGTGTGCTTGTATCAGTGCCAGTTTCTTCTGATTGGACTATCAATAATTTTATGTTGTTTATCCTTTTTAGGTTGGCTATTTGTGGTATGAATTTATATACAAGCTGGACAAGGTCACATACAACAAGTTCCATCCCTACACATCATGGATACCTATCACGTGAGCATTAAGAGTTCTTATTTTAATCTTTGTTTATTATTTTGTTTGATTTCTAACCATCATTTTTATTTTATTTTTTCTGAAAATTTATGCAAGGAGTCTGACAACATGGCTTGTGCAGCATCTGTCCCATAGAAAGTTCTTATTTAGTACTTTCACCTTTTGCTTTACTTTAATTTCAGTGTTTGCATTTGCTTGCGGAATTTCACTCAGCAATTACGGAGTTTCTCATTGACTCTCTTTGCGTAAGATTTCCTTTGGCCTGTCCGGTTAAGCTATATGACCATGAAGCACCTCTAACATTTTTTTTCTTTTTTCTTTTTTCAGAATTATTATTCTTTTTAAAGCTTATTAGGATATCTCTAACAGTATAAACTACTCTGTGCTACTAGGTGGCTCGGCAACCTCCCTCCAGACGTCACAATCACCCTTTCTTGGGACCCACGTCCTTGTTGGTTTGACTGGGCTTGCGCACGCTCCCCCTTTCCGCCTAGAGATTGACTTTGATATTATTTGTCACGCTCCGCCCCGCTATGCAAATATTGTCTGCATCTTGTTAAGCAAGTATGCTCAAAATGTGCTTAGTGCTTCTCAATTTGTTTCATCAAAGCAAGAATGTCCATATCCGAATAGTGTCACAGCCAAGTTATGTAGATATTATCCGGCAGCCAACCTCCCTCCAAGCGATGTAGGACGTCACAATCACTCCTTCTTGGGACTCACGTCCTCGTTGGTTTGACTGGGTTTGTGCACGCTTCCCCTTTCTGACTAGGGATTGATTCTGATACCATTTGTCACGCTCCGCCCCGCCATGCAGATATTGTCTTCTTTATGCATTCTTTGTGCTCATGGTTTTCAAAACGAGTCTACACAGTTAAGAAGTATCCACACATATAAGTGTCAATAGTCTTCCCTAAGACAATGTGGAATGTCACAGTCCCTATTTTCGACGCAGTATTGCAAGAATGATCACCGCATTTCCTTTTGTTCTGTGAATCGCTGCCAGAATTGGGTTATCCTCTTCATGCTTTTCCCTTTCTACTGAAAGTGAAAATCCTAAGTACGCCAGGATATCCTGGTTGCTGTCGATAACACTCTCCATTTCCTGATAAATTAACCTCAAAGGTATTGAACTTACAAAGGATAGGAAAATCTCTTCCATGTATAACTTCTCCACAGTTCAAAAGAAAAAGAGTTACAATCTAACGCTTGACATGAATGTTCATAACAATCACCTGGTAGATGTATTATTATAAAATAAAAACATTTTTTTTTCCTAAAAAAAAAATTAATCTGTTTACCATCATGCGAACATGAAAAATGACAAGAGCACATTGTGTTGCTGCACCCTAAACTAACTATGCCTCATCAGTTATTACATGGCACCTCCTTGCTATCAACTCATAAATATTCTAGTCATCAAAGTCTGAATGCTTGCAAACATTTTCCATCCAAACAACAACTCTTCTGAAAAATGAAAAGATAAAAACATATTCATATCAACTGTGTACAATATGACTAAAATGATACTAGAGGACCTTGTGGGACCCATCAATTTTGGCATGCCTATAAGCTAGGGGTTCCCTGATGTCCATATCCCACATAAAATTCAATGGTTAGGAGCAATAGTGACATTAATATGCATGTCTCACCTGCCTGTGGAAATACTGACGAGCCAAAAGAGAAGAAAATTGAATGAGAAACCTTGGCATCGGTGATGCTAACTGAAAGATTGTGATGCAACCTGGCCAGGTATTTGTTTTTTCTAACCATTGGTGAATGAAGCAACAGTACTAGGGCTTTAAATCATTGACTTGACTCATGCTAATGGCACATTTTACAATCATGTAAAAAATATCTCACCAACTGCTAGAGTTGCATATTAATGGTACCCTTTTCAAGCATTAATATGTATAGCTTGGATCTATCTTTGAAGTGTTGAGATCGATCATGTTGGATCGATCGAATCTTTTTTTGAGATTGATCGAAATTTTTGAAATTCTACCATTTACTTCCTTTTGCTCTACTTTGCTCCACTTTGCTCATCTCTTTGATTCATCTTAGAATTGCTTCCTTTTTGCTCTTATTTTGGCTGAGTTAGCTTATTTTGGGGATAAGTGCCTCAAAATAGAAATAACACGAAATCAATACAATACCGAAAAAAAAAAAAAAAAAGGTCCTAGAATGCCTAAGCTTAAGGGGTTTAAATACGCATTTTTCAGCGCTCATTATTCGGCCCAAGGCCGGGCGATCATTCGCCCAACTCTGTTCTTGCGTTGGAAAAAATTTCTACTCAGACGATAGTCGCCCATGGATCGGGCGATGGTTTGCCCTTTGCTGCTACTCTCAAAAAAAAAAAAAAAAAAAAAAAGGTTTTTAGAAGGCAAACTTCAAACGGCCATAACTTTGGCATCGGTGGTCCGTTTTGGATGAAGAGAAGGGTTTGGTTAAACAAAAAAATTCACACTATAAGGATTAGGTCAAATACCAAAATAAATTAAATAGATTTCTAATAATAAGCATTCTAAATTCAGAATCTAAGCATAAATCCTTTGATAAAGGATAGTTAAGTAAACAAAAATTTATATCATAATTACTTTTATTTGGCTATGCGAAACCTTTTTGCACCATTCATCTCTATCTATCCTGTTTTACATCACAAGCAACTGTGTCAAGTTGCAACTCAAAATTAAGATAGGTCACATGGTTCTTTCAAGGCCATCATCTTGAAATCAGAAACATACATTCAAAGCCCTTAAAGTACCTTGAGAAATAAATAAAATGCAGATGAGTCAATCTGAAACTTCTATTTTAATAAGCAGATTGGCAGCATGATTTATACTCCTGTCTAGGGATGTCAATTTTTACCGCCCCGCCGGGGTCCCGTCCCATCCCGCCCCGTTAATAACAGATATGGGAACACTTTTTTTACCGTTGGAGCGAGCATGGATACAAAATTTGTACCCGTTACGGGTCATGGGGCAGGTAAGGGTTCAATATACATATCCTTGGGGCCCCGCCCAGCTAAGCATATATATATATATATATATATATATATATATATGCTTAGTATAACTTATCTTAGCGACTTACCCAGTTACCCATCTCTTATAATCCTAATTCGGGATGTAAACTTGGTATTAAATTTGCTTTTGTTTTAGTTATGGTGGAAGTTGGAACTTAAAACTTCTTGTGATTTGGTTGTATTAAATTTTTATTTATGTTTATTATGTTATCTGAATTATGTTATGTGTATGTTATTTTTTTATTTTTGTTGGGATACATAATTTGATTTATGTTGTGCCATTTCCAGGCTTTCCACATTTAAATAGCAGGAGCTTAAGTTCTAAAAAGTGGGAGAAAAAAATTTGTTAGCGGGGCGGGCACGGGGGCACAGTATTCCCCAACGGGGCGGGACTGGACATGAAAATTCAACCCGTTGCGGGTCTCGAGGCAGGCATGGACTTGACAAAAATTAAAAGGGGCGGGGCGGGATTTAGGGAAACCCGCTCCAAACCCGCCCCGTTGCCATCCCTACTCATGTCCTAGTGCTGCGCAGCTAACCATACTTTCCACTGGTCTACAAATCTGTTCTGATGTGTAAAACGTATGATTTTGATGCCATCACATATGCATACGCATGAGAAATCATTTCATCTGGAATGTAAAACCAAACCAATTATATCACTCTCTGATATTTTACATCTGCTGTGTAAAATACTTTTATTTCAGCTTGTTTCGGGGAAAAGGAATTTTACATTCTTCACATTCATGCTAGATATCTGGCACATATCCATGATCAAGCAGACTAGCAGTTAAGGAATTTAATTCAGCATAAATAAAACAGTCATCAGGATTAGTCCTATCATCAGTAACAAAAACATGCACACCATTACTGAGTTCAATCTAGCTACAACCTGGTGTTTTTCTCACATTTTGTTGCCTCGTTATATGTTTCACCTCTGATACCTCTTCATATTTACCACCTGCTCCATAAACATTTGACATCAATACAAAACTTCCACAGTGCTCTGGTTCAAGCTCAAACACCCTATCTGCAGCAACTTTGGCCTGGGCTTCATTTCTATGGAGTCAATATGCTGCTAGTAAAGCCCTCCATATTACTGGGATTGCATCAATTAGCATTGTCGATACCAACTCATACGCCTCCTCCACCAGTCCAGCTCGACCTAGCATGTCAATCACGCAAGTATAGTGTTCAATAGTTGGAACAACGCCATATTTCAATGGCATTTGTGTCAGGAAGTCACGCCCTTGGCTCACAAAACCTGCATGGTTGCAGGCTGACAAAACCCTCACAAATGTGACCTCATCAGGCTTCAATTCCACTTCAATCATGCGACAAAACATATCTAATGCCTCAATGCCAAACCCGTGCATGCCATAACCCATAATCATGATGTTCCATGATGCTGTATCTTTATAGCCGATCCTATCAAAAACCAAGTTAGCTTCCCTCATACTCCCACATTTTGCATACATGTCCAAAACAGCATTATTCACATATACATCATCAAAATCCTTGCCCAACCCATTAATAATCATGTATTGTGATACCCCCAGATTTCCGGATGCGGGTTGGCCGGGCCCACGCCCGATTACCCGAGGATATCAAACCAATTAGCAATAATCGAACACAGAATACAAATAAGAAAAACAAGAATAAATAAATTGCTAAAAAGAAACTAGAATAATAATCCAAAAACCTCAGAATAAAATTTAATTAACAAAGAATGATTCTGATACATCCTACTTCTCCATTTCTATTACAACTCGGGAATCCATCTAGTGGACCCCTAATATATCTCACTGAACTCAAAAGATTGGAAACGAAACCCAAGTCTAAAATATGAAATAAAACCCTGGTCATCGGTGGAGTGAATAACTGTATTTGCTCAGCACAATCTAGCTTCAAGTCTGGAACTAACAAACACCTGTAAAAATAAGAGTGGGTCAGGCCCACATGCAAATTCTTCTTTAACTACAATCCAAACAGTGACTCGATACGCAGATACACCCTAGATATCTCAACAATAGCTATCTAGTCCATACATATATATATATATATCCACACTAAGGGACATTTATTGGACTACAGTAGGAGTCTCAACCTGAATAGAAGGCAACATGCGAAAACGCACCCAAAGGTGGGCATGAGTACCTAGACCTAACAGGGTACATCTCAACCTACTATAGCCAGCTACGCATCCACTGCATATACGCACCCTAACCAACGAGTCTGAGGCTCAAGCTCATCTCGTTGTAGCATAAACATATTTATAAAGTCCGTCCAAAACCAGGGTATGTAGTTCAAATATTTATTGAACTGACATACAATAAACCAGCTAGTTAGTCTCTCAACTTATTCTGTTGATATGACTTAACTATCATCCATTAATCCAGGAAGCCACTCAATTTAGTTGCAGTTGATTTGATTTAACACAATTAGGATTCAATATTTTTAAATCCATTCCTTTAATCCGTTAGGTTAGGTTTAGGCGTTTTGAGCTAAACCATCCCCTAGTATGTCACCGTCCCATACCGGTGCATACAATCCTCCATATCCATGTAATTGACAGAATATATTTATTCAGCAATTTAAATCCAAAACCATGTAAAAATTACAGACTATCAATAACAGTACAGTAATTTAATAACTAAAACCAAAAGCCAGGTAATTGCAGAATAGTTTATACAACATTACAGCAATTACAGTTCAAAACCATAATCCAATTACTTGTATGATAATATCTAAGATCCCACAATTAACATCCAAACCATGTAAATTACAACCTATAAATAACAGTATAGCAATTTACAATCCAAAACCATCCCAAATAATTACAGAAGACTATTTATAGTTTCAGCAATGTAAATTCAAGAGTTAAACCATGTATTTGCAGGAAACGGTTTAAAGATTCAACAACTAGCATCCATAGCATGCGTAGATCACATCTAATATATCAATG